AGGCCTTCCACAGGGAAATCTTCAAATCTGTCATATCATTTGGAGCAGGGCCTAGCCACTCCCCCCCCCCATGTGTCTAGGCTGAGAGTATCCCTTTATGTGGATTGGGTTCCCAAAGGCCGTCATGTACTAGGGATAAATACTGATCCATTACCAGAGGCTCAATAGATTGCCCAGACCTCCAAACTGACATCCACATTCAGGGGGTCTGGAAGAGTGCTATGCAGGTTTCCCAGCTATCAGTCTGGGGTCTATGAACTCCCCCATGTACACATCAGCTGTTTCTGTGGGTCTCCCCAGCATGGTCTTGACCCCTGTGCTCATCACTACCCACTCTCTAAAACTGAATTCCAGGAATTTGACTCAGTGCTTAGCTGTGGGTGTCTGCTTCTGCTTCCATCAGCTACTGGATGAAGGCTCTAGGATGGCATATAAAGTAGTCATCAATCTCATTGTAGGGGAAGGCACTTAAGGTAGCCTCTCCACTATTGCTTAGATTTTTAGTTGGGGTCATCCTTGTGGATCTCTGTACATTTCCCTGGTTCCTGATTTCTCTTTAAACATATAATGGTTCCCTCTATTATGGTATCTCTTTTTTTGCTCTCGTCTATTCTCCCCTGACTCAATCTTCCTGCTCCTTCATGTCCTCCACTCCCCCCCTCTTCTCCATTCTCTTTCTCATAAATCCCTCTCCCCTCCCCCCACACTCCCAATTCCACAAGGAAATCCTGTCACTTTTTCCTTGTCCAGGGGACCATGTATCTCTCTCTTAGGGTCCTCCTTGTATCCTTGCTTCTCTGCCTGTGTGGATTGTAGCCTGGGAATCCTTTGCTCTATGTCTAAAATGCATATATGAGAGTGTATATACCATGTTTGTCTTTTGTAACTGGGTTACCTACTCAGGATGATTTTTTCTAGATCCATCCATTTGCCTGGGAATTTCAAGATTCCATTGTTTTTTTTCCTGATGAGTAATACTCTGTTGTGAAAAAGTACCACATTTTCTTTATCCATTCTTCAGGTGAGGGGCATCTAGGTTGCTTCCAGGTTCTGGCTATTGCAAAGAATGCTGCTATGAACATAGTCAAAGAGATGTCCTTGTTGCATGAATGTGCACCTTTTGGGTATATGCCTAGGAGTGGAATTGCTGGATCTTGTGGTAGGCTGATTCCCGTTTTCCTGAGGAACAACCATACTGATTTCCAAAGTGGCTGTACAAGTTGGCACTCCTACCAGTAGTGGAGGAGTGTTCCTCGTTCTCCACATCCTCTCAAGCATAAACTGTCATTGGCATTTTTGATTTTAGCCATTCTAACAGGAGCAAGGTGGTATCTCAGAGTTGTTTTGATTTGCATTTCCCTGATGGCTAAGGATGTTGATCACTTCCTTATATGTCTTTCAGCCATTTTAGACTTCTCTATTGAGAATTCTCTATTTAACTCTGTACTCTAATTTTAATTGGATTCTTTGGTGTTTTGGTGTCTAGCTTCTTGAGTTCTTTGTACATTTTGTAAATCAGTGCTGTGTCAGATGTGGGGTTGGTAAATATCTTTTCCCAGTCTGTGGGCTGCCATTTTGTCTTGTTGAGTGTGTCCTTTGCCTTACAGAAGCTTCTCAGTTTCAGGAGGTTCCATTTATTAACTATATATCTCAGTGTCAGTGCTACTGCTGTTATGTTCTGGAAGTAATCTCCCATACCAATTAATTCAAGGGTACCACCTACTTTCTCTTCTAAGAATTTCAGTGTGGTTGGGTTGTGTTGAGGTCTTTAATCCATTTGGACTTAAGTTTTGTGCGTGGCAATAGATATGGATCTTTCTGCAATCTTCTACATGCCAGCATCCAGTTATGCCAGCACCATTTGTTGAAGATGCTTTCTTTTTTCCATTATAGTTTTAGCTTCTTTGTCAAAAATCAGGTGTTTGTAGGTGTGAATTCATATTAGGGGTTTCAAGTTGATTCCATTGGTCTACCTGTCTATTTTTGTGCCAATACCAAGCTGTTTTCAGGATTATAGGTCTTTAATAGAGCTTGGGATGGAAGTCAGGGATGGTGATGCTTCCAGAAGTTCCTTTATTGCACAGGGTTGTTTGGCTATCCTGATTCTTTTGTTTCTCCATATAAAATTGAGAATTGTTCTTTCAAGGTCTGTGAAGAATTGTGCTGGAATTTTGATGCAATCAGGGATTGCACTGAATCTGTAGATTGCTTTTGGCAAGATTGCCATTTTTAGTATGTTGATCCTACCTATCCAAGAGCATGGGAGGTCTTTCCATTTTCTTGTATTGTATTTGATTTCTTTCTTTAAAGACTCAAAGTTCTTGTTATACAGGTTCTTCACTTGTTTGTTTAGTGTTACCCCAAGGTATTTTATGTTGTTTGTGGCTATTGTAAAGGGTGATGTTTCTCTGATTTCTTTCTCATCCCATTTCTCGTCTGCGTTTAGTAGGTCTACTGATTTTTTCAGTTAATCTTGTATCCTGCCACTTTGCTGAAGGTGTTTATCAGCTGTAGGAGTTCCCTGGTAGATTTTTCCAGTCACTTATGGAAAATTTCACATCATTTGCAAATAGTGAAAGTATGACTTCTTCTTTTCAAATTTGTATCCCCTTGATCTCCTTTAGTTTGCTTATTGCTCTAGCTAGAACATCAAGTGCAATAGTGAAGAGGTATGGTACAGGTCCAAGGTTCCCTTCCAGTGGGTGCAAGGGGATACTCCAATGGCTCTCTTCTTCCCATGGATAGGCCAAGTACCAGCATGTTGGCAGACCCTGGATGGGCTGTTCTGTTGCGACTGATTCCCCTGTTTGCAGGGCTCAGGAAGATCAGAGCAGGGCACCAGAAGTCAGGCCAGAAACAGGCCACACCTACTCCTCCAGTGGATGGAGTTTGGACCAGGACACTGGCAGTCTCTGGTTGAACTGCCTGGATGGGTTCCCCAGCACTCAGTCCCCAGATCTCAGGAGTTTCTGAGAAGTGCACTGGAAGGTGGGCCAGAAACAGTCCCACACCTCTGGAACACTTCTTGTAAGACATATTCTTATCCCCAACTCCCTACAATTATGTTCCATAGTTCCAAGTAATCTCTCTTTCTCTTTCTCTATTCATTTTGTTTTTGACCCAAAAACATTAACCAATGCCATCTGTGAGACTGTGGGTTTGGAGTTATGTGTTGGAGGGTCTCACAGAGGAGACACAACTAACGACAGTGATTCCCCTTCTTCTAAAAATCTATCTATGATCACAGTTGAGAGGTAAAGGGTGGGGCCCTGTGAGCCTCACCCCTTCCTAGACTGATTGTGGACAGGGCTCGTCTTTCAAAGTGAATTTTCTGTGTTTTATATAAGAGTACTTCTAGCATGCTTTCTAGGAGACAAAATTGTTTCTATTATTAAAACCACAATGTCACCACTGTGTTAAAATGGCACAGTGCATGAGGAATTCCGCACTCACATACTGAGACACCTATTTCCTTTCAAAGTCCTGAGTTCCTGTGATGTCTTTTCCCAGGTCAATACTGCTACTAGTGTTAATTCCGGATATTTGACTGGCAATGGTGCAGGTATGTGAGGGAAGGATAAAGATGGCCTTTTAGTGTCACTTCATTTGCACAGTGGTGGAAATGATTATCCAGCTCGCAGGATAGCTCTCCAGAGTGAGTGCTGTGTCTAGAATTTAGAATATTTCATATAGAACGTGTTGTTGAAATTTCACGTTAACCTTTTACCTATGTGGAGCATTAATTATTTTGTTTGACTGAGCTATCCAGCTCCTCTACCCTGAGCTATCCACAGGCATTAGCTGGTCACTTCTGGCCCGTGAATCATTTTGTTCCTCTCCTGCTTGATTCACATGCTTTACATGCTTCGAGCCTGGAACATGACTCATGTTGCTGAGTTCTGTGTATCGGTTAGCCTTTACATTGCTCTCCTTGTGTGTGTGTGTGTGTGGGGGGGGGGGGGGGGAGGGGTCTGTTGTTTTCTGTGGTTTTTATCTTTGTGTTTAAATAGTGTTGGGAAGGGGGCTTGCACATAAGAAGCTAGGGTGCTTGTTGTCTTTTGCGGTGAGTTTTTAACCCAGGAGTCTGCTACTCCAAGATAATTGAGGCAGGAGAGCTTATCTCT